CTAGAACATAGTTTACAAAACGGTTACCTTAAAACAGGCCTGGTATACAAATTTTCACCAGCCCCCCACCCCCTCCCTGATAAAAAATGAACAGTCCCTAAAAGCAAACTCTACAAAGTTCTTGAATATAAATTATATTCTTGTGGCTGAACTTTTCAATAACAAAACTAAATCGTTACCTTATCAAAAGTATTATGACTTCAGTTATAGTAACTTAACTTACTGGTAATCATAAAAACAAAAAGAAATGATATTACAAATAAATCAATAATTTGATTGACTTTATCAGTTATGATGGATGTGTTCAAACTTTACTTTTTTTTTTTTTTATTTACTTTATTTATTTTAGTTTAGTTTAGTTTAGTTTAGTTTATTTTATTTTATTTTATTTTATTTTATTTTATTTTATTTTATTTTATTTTGCAGACATGGTAAAACGCGAGTTATTCATTTGGCAAAAAGATCCTGACTTCTTATTAAATAGAGAGGTACTTGTAAAAATGCTTTTCCAGTTTAAAAGTAGATCAAAGGAAAGGGGGTTGGCGTTGGATAAAATTGCCAGCTATCTCAACCAAGTGGAGATGAAAGTCACCAAATGTTCAACGAGAGAACATTTTCAAAAGTTATATAACGATTTCAAGAGAAAAGAAGTCACAAGAGAAGAAAGCAAGTGGAGATAAAGTTGAGTGTGATGAAGTGCATCAGGCTTTAACAGATATCGATGATCTYATTGTCAATTATGAAGAGGAAAGAGATGATAAAAACTAAAAGCAGCAAACAGAGAAAATGCAAAAAAGAGCTTAATCCGAGAAATTGTGCAAGACCAAAAAAACAAAGATGAGCAGTGGCAATGATGATGTGCTTGGTGATGAAAAATCAACTCCAAATAAAAAAGGAACAGCATGACAGACCTGCTAGAGCAGTCCCTTGCAAAGAAGACAAAAGAAAATGCTGACCAGCATCCACTCAGACAGAGGGAGCTGGACATTAGAGCTGAGGAAGTGCAGCAACAGCAGCAATTTCAAGCCATGCTRCTACAACAGCAACAACAGTTTCAGCAACARTTACACAGCAACAAMTACAATAACAACAATACCCGCAGCAACAACAAGTAATGCATATGGCCATGATCAATACCCTCTCTGAGTTACTTAAAAACAAATAAGAGAATGCATAATTGCTATAATTGTGTTTATTTAGAATACACTTTTATAATTGCACTTYCTTTCTTTTACGTGACAGAAAAAAAATATTTATTAAAGTAATATCAATGATATTCCATTTTTGAAGTTCTTGACTTTTATCGCCAGTAAGGAATAAGAACAACACAACGAAAGAGCTTTAATAGTAAACAACAAAATGGCAAGTGAAACGAGAATAATAATAAACAGGCATCACTCGTGTGAGCTCGCACATAAACTAATATCAGTCTGCAGGTCAAAGAAACCTGCTGGCATATGTTACAGGACAACAGGGATTAATATTAATTGGATTAATATAAATGATAATTATAATCCAGTCCTAGATTGTTATTATCTATTACTGGATTATGATTATCCTATAATAATCTAGTATTATGATAATCTCAAGATTTATATTAACCTGTGTTATCCTGATATTCACTTTGTAAATGATTATTTCATTACAAGAAAAGTAATTTATCAAAAGACACTATTTATCTTGTTGGGTAAAGTATCACTTTATTCCAATTAGCTTTCATAAATGTACAGTACTTAAATGCACTGCATACTGAGTTTATACACAATTCCTACAATTTATATACATTCAAGAATGTACAACCCAAGTTGTTGTGCTTATTTTGTGTTTATAATGATATCATGGAGTCCGATTTAAAAGGGAGATAACTGATATAATGGAGATGATTATGACTATTTGAAAATCAAATCCATGGTACTGTCCAGCTCAGGATCTTCCTCATTGTCATAATCATTATATCTCCATTATATCAGTTATCTCCCTAGACATCAGATTGCAACCTATCCAGGTTATCTCAAATGCCACATTGTTTATTGTCACATTCTCATCTGTGACATCTTGGAGATGATGTACAAGGACATGCGTGGTGTGAATTCTGCCAGATGTAAGTTTGAAAGTTGTACCTCCTGATGTGCATTTTGAGACTACAGTAACAAGCTAAGCAAGCATATATGGAAACTTAAAGAAGAAGACAAAGTATAAAATATCTTGGAGAATACATAAGCATGCAACTCCTTACAACCCATCTTTCAATTGCTGCAACCTGTGTTTATGGGAGAAATATTTTATAATCTGCAAACCTAACCTAGGAACATTAAATAAAAGATCTAAACTAACTTCTTCTTATAGACACGCAAGCAAATTCCTTTTACGAAACTTTAAATAGCATCCGTGTCACATGATTCATGGAGAATAGAAGCTTTATTTATGTACATGGTAGCAAAAATTGCTAAATTGCGTACAATACTAATTAAAAAATATGTGATAATAATAATAATAATAATAACAATAATAAAACTATAATATACATTAACTAATTGATTAAAAGACTACTATATACAATGTAAGAATTAGACTAATTAGAATAAAAGGACTATATAAAACCTATAAAAGGACCTATACAATGTAATCATGTAATATATCGTGTATCAATTAGTAACCATTGTAGATAATTCAAAATTGGGCTGTTTATATGACGAGTGCTGTACAATTTCTGTGCGGTACGAAATTATATAGTAATTAAACATGCCTTTTTTGCTGATTTAGTGTCTCAAAAATCATATATATATAAATTTCATCAAAAAAAATTTAAAAAGTGCTCAACAACAATATAAAAGCCGGAGCTGTATAAATTAGAATAGAAGATTTCAGAACAAACTACTGTTTTAATTTTCCATGATGTAATTTTCACTACAATATTGTTTCGTATGGTCCAGAGTGTCACAAACTGACACTTAATCAAATTGTCAGACAGTAAGAACTGAAAACTTCTTTAATCTTCTTGGTCCTCTGTAGCTAGGTCTTTTACAATAATACTAACTCTGAGCTGGACTCTCTCCTGACTGTTGCTGGACTGCCTCTTATATACATATAGCGTTACTAAATATATCCCATTACACTGTTACTAAMTATAGATATTACATCATTCTAGAAATCTCTGTAGTGTAACATTACTCAGCATTTCTCTAAGTCTAGAAGGATCTGGAAAACACTTAACCAYATGAAGAATATTCTAGAAAGCATATAACTAAAGGTTCATAGAAAGTTCTAGAATAATCTAATAAATTACCACTTTGGCTAAACTAGAATGTTCCATGGGAAGAGGTCCATCACAAGAGGACCACACTCATCAGGTGAAACCATTACTTGACCATTAAAATTTAAAGGTTTACATTAAGTACATGTTTAAAATTGACGCTAAAGTATAAAATGACAGATTTGTGATATTACAGCTACAAGTGCGTGACGGATGAAATGTTTATCTGTTGTAAAATCTTAAGAGATATTTTCGTCTATGTCTACATGTGGATACAAGTTCATTACGCTTATTTAAGGTTGCTTCATGTCAATGGCAAATTATTATATATTTCTCACTTATACGTAAATTACGTCGTTTGCTTAAATGATTATATGATTTTGATTTCATTAAAATTGACCATTTAAGAGTGAATTCAATAACATTGTCTTTTACAGCTATTTGCAATAATTCTGACCCACCTACGTTAATATTCATATATATCAAAACTGACCTTTAATATTATGGGATATCATGACTGATATATTTTTTGAGTTGTCCAGAATGAGTACTTTCTAAAAACAATATCAGCCATTGTATCCCATAATTTTTAAGGCTACTTTGATATATATGAATTTTAGCGTTCGTGGCTCGGAATTATTGCAAATGGATGTATTATATATATGTATTACATAAAATACTGAGCTAAACGCTTTGAATATGATCCATTGATTTATTRCTACAGACCTGTTWCGTATGGTTTGAMCCACACTCATCAGGCAATTTACAATGAATGACCGTTAGATATCCTATGCTGGTAATTTGAACTAGGATGGTTGCTAGGCTACATTTATCAGGTTACATAGAAGTTTTTGAGCGTGTATTTATTTCTGTGGGGACATGGGCTTGCGAGTTCATTACGTTTGTTTAGCGAAGATAGGTGTTTCTTACAGATGATTATAAACTTTTCGTTCAAGCATAAATTACATTTTTTGTTCTCATTATTATATGATTGGCTTTTTTTGATTATTTTCCACGTCAGGTTGAATTTTCTGTTTTTGTCTTTCAGTTCCCAAATATGCTTAGATAGTTCTGTTACGTTTCTTTTTTTGCAATGTTTAAAAGAAGTCAGGTGGTTTCTATATCTTTCTTTGAAGTTAGTTGCTAATCCTACGTATGTTTCTGTTGATGTTTCAGTAGTTACGGTCCTTGGTATATTACGTTTGTCTATTGGCAGTTTCCATTAAGGGGGCAGTCAGGTTTTTTTCTGCAGTTGCACTTTGGTTCTTGTTGCTCGATTGCGGTTCCAGTTTTGATTTTGCTTTTGTTGTGGGAGTCAATTATATTCTTCACATTGGGCATGCATGAGTAGCTTAGCTTTAAAGTATTCTTGTTAAAGATCTTGTGCAGTGGGTGGTCTTTTGGGAAGCATTTGTTGACTGTGTTTAGAAACTTTCTACCAAGGTTTGTCTTTACATTAGAGTTCCAGGGTGGGTTGTACCAAGTTATATTACGTTTGCGGTTTTTTCTAGCTTGTGTTCTATTACTTTGTGGGTTAAAGATTAATTTGTGGTTGTAGCCACTTTCGTCCAGTGCTTTTTGGTAGGGTGGAATAGTTTCATTAAAAACGTCTTCATTAGATGAAATATTACTTAGTCGTTTATTTATATTCAGAGGTATGTTTTTCAGTAGTAGGGGTGGATGGTTACTTTCATTGTGAACTTAAAGTAGTTTGTTGTTAGGCTTCATGTATGGCTTGTAAGTCCCATTAGTTAGGTTAAAGGTTACGTCAAGGAAGTTCACGATTTTTTTGTTGGCGTCAATTGTTATTTTTAGCTTATTATCCTTAAAGATTTTTGTTATTCATTTCTTTATGCTTTCAATCTCTTGTGGTGTAGATCTACAAGCTATTAATCTATCATCTCTGTATAGGCCTGCCTTGTTCTTCAGTGTAGGGTTTAGTAGTGAAAGTATAAARAGTCCAATTAGTTCACATGTCTCAGCTCCGTCATATGATCCCATTGTCACRTCAAACATGTTCGTCGTATCGTGTTTTGTCCATGAAGAGTTTTGATGGTGAAGTAGACAGTGATCTTTTTGCATGAATGATGATGTCTTTGTCTTGTTGGGTGATCTCGGTAAAGCTTGATGCATAGTTCAGCGCTTTTGTTAACAATTCTTCAGTTATAGAAGGGTAAAAGTCACACACATCAAAGGTAATGAATGCATGTTTGTCTTTGTCCGGTATCGTCTTGAACCAATTTATCGTGTCGTTAGTGCTTTTCCATAGTTGAGCACTATGAAAAATTATTCTTCAATATTAAGTTTGTGTGTACATATATAGAGAGAGAGTTTTGTTTTTGTTTTTTTTCCTGAATGTACAAACATTCTTATAGCAGCCTC